GGTCCACTGCTGCACACGTGCCACAATATTGATACAGGGCCAGCTGTATCGATGCTCGTATCGTCAAATCTCTGTGACGATACATCGTCGTATCGATATTTTGAACACAGCACTAGTATATAGTATGAAAACTTACTGTTAATCAGCAAACAGGTTTTTACTGTAGCATTTTTACAGTCTTTTACTGTTAAAATCATGATCATTTCATACAGCCCATGTTTCAATGATAAACCATATTTGAGGTTGATGAATGATAGGTGAACGTTTGGATGTCGTGCCTGATCTACTGTAATTACCTCAAGGACCAACGTTTAGTCGACTGTTAGGGGACAGCCCTAATCTCAAATCACAACTGACTGAACAAGGGGTGACCTTTAAACAGATCAGCTCCAGTCCTCAGTGGAGATCTTGGACTAGTCAGTAACTGGATTTCCTGATGTCTTGGCTCAGGGAAGCTGCTGCTAATGTCAGTAATGGTTCCCCTCCGTCAGATCCGACTTTAGCATGCTCTGCTCTGAAGCTGACGTTGGGCTTGTTGTATAGATGGTGTCTGATAAAGATGTCTGAGTCAGAGGACTCTGTGCTTTCCACAGTCTCTGATGCTGAACTCTGATCTTAACACACAAGAGAAAACAGGCAAACCTAAGCACCGAGGTCAGATTTTCACTAAGGCTGACTTCTCTTGTGAAATTGAAAGCGGACACTGTTTGATTCCGCCGTGAGTTCAGTTCCAGTAATTCCACATGCTCGTCATGTGGCTAGAGTGCGGTCAATTACTTGTCAGCTATAAGAAACTGGTATTGAAAAATGAGCCGTTTCTGGAAACAGAAACATTCCTGAGCCGCCAGGAGCAAGTCATAGCGACCGGCCTCCTGCGGGCACTTCAGCGAGACGGGCATGAATGCTAGATTCACACAGACAGCCTGACATTCATGCCACTCGCTGGATTTAAAGCAACAGTTTACCCTAAATTGAAAATTCTCATTGACTCACAGTCAAAATTGCTCCAAACCTTATGTGGAACTCAAAAGTAGGTGTTTAAAACTGTTCATCTGCATTTCTAAACGTGTGTTGTGATTTGTTATCATTATGAAACCTGCTGCAATTTTTTTGAATATTTGAATATACGTGTAAGAGCAAAATAGATAAATAGAGCTGTGGAGGAGAGGGAATGATTTTCATTAAATAACTTGCGAGGATTTAGGGTCTGTTCTTCTCATAAAGCTATCGTATGGCTTATTTTGTCATATTTTGTTTTGGAACTTGACAGCATCCGTCTTGTAAAACTCATTTGCTGAATTTGGAAGGCTTTCTGTCTTCGTTTGTAATACTGCCATATGCACACTTTACAAAAACATCTTTTGGTCAACTGAAGGACTTTGTCTCTGTTGAGTCTAGACTTGTGCCGGTATTCGGTAATACGATATATCACGGTAATGAATATGCACGATATTGTTATCGTGGGCACTTCTAAATACCGTGAATAATTATATATTACAAATTATTCAGAATTTTGAATGCATTTTAAGAATACTTTTCCCATCAACTGGTCAAAATGCACAACACCGCTGTATGCTGCATGAAAGACGC